ATACAAACTGTTATGATTTCGCTTGCTGCAGGGTTGAACAACAACTCTTTTTGATTTTCATACATTCTTTTTCTTATTTTTTTAGGAGCTATACTAGTGTTATTTATTTATGTTGCCTCACTTGCTTCTAACGAACCATTCAAATTTTCAGCTACAGCTCTAATAGTTATTTCAAGATTTTCTTTATTTTTGACAATTTTTATAATACTAAAAGACCCTCTTTATATTACTCCCGATATTTCTATTATTAGATCAGCGATTTCTTCAGATATATTTTCACTTGATACTACTTCTACTCTAGTAAGAACTATTTATAGACCTCCAACAATATCTTTTACTTTATTTATAGTCCTTTATCTCCTATTGACTCTTATCGTTATTGTAAAAATTGTTAATCTTTATTCAAGACCACTTCGACTATCCTATTAATGACGACACCTATTCGCAAAAGCCATCCCCTTTTTAAAATTGCTAACGGAGCTTTAGTAGATATACCTATTCCAAGAAATATTTCAACATTCTGAAATTTTGGATCTTTATTAGGCTTATGCTTAGTTGTCCAAATTGTTACTGGTCTTTTTCTTGCTATACACTATACTGCTCATATTGATTTAGCTTGCTCAAGTGTTGCCCATATTTGTCGAGATGTAAATTACGGGTGACTTCTTCGAACACTCCATGCTAATGGAGCTTCCTTTTTCTTTATTTGCCTTTACTTACATATTGGACGTGGTATGTATTATGGATCCTACTTATTTTTTCATGCTTGAATAGTAGGTGTTGTTATTTTATTCATAGTTATAGCAACAGCTTTTCTAGGTTATGTTTTACCTTGGGGTCAAATATCATTCTGGGGTGCAACAGTTATTACTAATCTTTTTTCTGCTATCCCTTATATTGGGACTGAACTTGTACAATGAATTTGAGGTGGATTTGCAGTTGATAATGCAACGCTAACTCGATTTTTTACAATTCATTTTTTATTACCATTTTTAGTAGCAGCAGCGACTCTTATCCATATCTTATTTATTCATCAAACTGGAGCTAACAACCCACTTGGAATTGCAAGACATATTGATAAAGTTCCATTCCATCCTTATTTCACTTTTAAAGATGTTGTTGGATTTATAGTTATACTAACCGCATTAATTTTATTGACTCTTCTAAATCCCTACCTTCTTGGAGACCCTGACAACTTTGTCCCGGCTAATCCACTAGTTACACCAGCACATATTCAACCTGAATGATACTTTTTATTTGCATATGCTATCTTGCGATCAATTCCAAACAAATTAGGAGGAGTAATCGCCCTGGCTATATCAATCGCAATTTTAATAATTTTACCTTTTACCCATACTTCTAAATTTCGAAGATTAACTTTTTATCCTTTAAATCAAATTTTATTTTGATCTTTAATTGCAATTGTTATTCTTCTAACCTGAATTGGAGCTCGACCTGTTGAGGATCCTTTTGTTATTACAGGGCAAATTCTGACAGTAGTATATTTCCTTTACTACATTATCAATCCCCTTTCACTTTTATTGTGAGATAAACTGTTTGATTGATAGTTTAGTTTATTTAAAACAGATGTTTTGAAAACATCAATAAGGACACTAAAACGTCTTAACTATCATAACATTTTCAATATACTAAATTAGTTATAAACTAAATTATAGAACAATAACATAGTATTTTTATCCCCATGAAAAAAATTAAATAATTAAGAGAAACTGGTAAAAATCTTTTTCAAGCTAATCCTATTAACTTATCGTAACGAAGACGAGGAAGAGTTCCTCGAACTCAAATAAATGCGAATCTTACTCCTACCAGCTTTGCATAAAAAAGGGGACTAGAAGGACCACCACCTAAAAATAATAATGCGAACAGCGCTCTTATAAACAAAATTCTAGCGTACTCAGCTATGAAAATTAAAGCAAAACCACCTCTTCTGTACTCGGTGTTAAACCCAGACACTAGCTCAGATTCGCCTTCCGCAAAATCAAAAGGAGTTCGGTTTGTCTCAGCTAAACAAGAAGCAAACCAAATTAAAGCTAACGGAAATGTGACCCACAAAAATCACACACTTTCTTGGTATAAATTAAAAAGTTCTAAACTAAAACCTCCCACTAAAAAAATAAAAGAAAGCAAAATTAAAGCAAGACTAACTTCATAAGAAATAGTCTGAGCAACAGCCCGGAGCCTACCTAACAAAGAATATTTACAATTAGAAGCCCAACCAGCTCTTATAGTTGAATAAACACCTAATCTTAAACAACACAAGAAAAAAAGTACTCCTATATTTAAATTTATTATTCCAATTTCATAAGGAATTACTAACCATACAATCAATGCAGTAAACAAACTAAAAACAGGTGAAGCATAGTATGGAAGAAAATTAGATTTTACAGGTACCGTTTGCTCTTTAGTAAATAACTTCACAGCATCCGCAAAGGGTTGTAGCAGTCCAATAAAGCCAACTTTATTTGGTCCTTTACGAATTTGAATATACCCTAAAATTTTACGTTCTAACAAAGTAACAAATGCAACACCCACAAGAACACAAATAATTAAAATTAAATAACTCACAAATATAACTAAAGCCATCACAAACAGTTTTATTCAAACATGTTTGAATAAATTTTATTACTTATAGAAAACTCTATCTAATTAGATCCTAAGTCTAACGCATCACATCTGCCAAAGTAATATAGTTAATCTATACTTAAAAATTATTTTAATTACTAAATCCTTTCGTACTAAAGTAATTTTTATTTTCTTAAAAGATAGAAACCAACCTGGCTCACGCCGGTTTGAACTCAAATCATGTAAAAATTTAAAGGTCGAACAGACCTACCTCCACAACTCCTACGCCATGGCGAATTTTTAATTCAACATCGAGGTCGCAAACTTTTTTGTCGATATGAACTCTCAAAATAAATAACGCTGTTATCCCTAAAGTAACTTAAATTTTTAATCAACAACAAGGATCATTACACACAAATATCTCTGTATTTTAAATTTAAACAGTTACAAATTATATCATCGTCGCCCCAACGAAATAATTTAGTATATAAATAATATTAAACTTTCAACTCATCTAATTATATACTAAATTATTAAGCTTTATAGGGTCTTATCGTCCCTTTAAAATATTTAAGCCTTTTCACTTAAAAGTCAAATTCAATTTTTGTGTTTGAGACAGTTTGCTTCTTGTCCAACCATTCATACAAGCCTCCAATTAAGAGACTAATGACTATGCTACCTTCGCACGGTTAAAATACCGCGGCCCTTTAGTTTGATCCCAGTGGGCAGGTTAGACTTTATAAACCATCATATAGACATGTTTTTGATAAACAGGCAGAAGCTTTATTTGCCGAGTTCCTTAACCCACACCAATCAATATTTAAAATTTGTTAATTTTTTAATATTTTACTATTTACAAAATTTTCTACTAATAAAATCATTTTATCTATAAATACAAAGATTATCAACATTTTTAGATACAACTACAAGAAGAATATAAATAACTTTAACTCAAAAATTAGTTAAAACACTTTATTCATATGGCTACTTCTAAGCCTAATTCAACTATTAAATAAATTTCTTCTATACTTTTTTATATTTTGAATAAGAAGCTCAACCCTCCTATTCTTACATTTAACTTTCTTTAAATATTAAAACTGAATTAAATTCATTTCTCTAAAAACCAGATATCAAAGGAATCGTTTAACATTTCACCACTAAATTAATATTAAAGATATTTATGCCACAATAACCTTTTTATCAATTTAGCTCTTCCTTTTTCGGGATCAAAAAACTACTTTTAAAATTTTAATTTTCCCTGATACACAAGGTACAAAAATTTACTTTTGCTTTCTTATTATTAAATTTTCATTTATTTCACTATTCTTTTACAATACTTTTAACTCTAGCCTTTATCTCAGTTTTCGATTCAAAATTTTAGATTTCTACTTACTTTTTTTATATAAAAATATTTTTCTCATTTATATTTTAACACTAAATAACAATAGCAAAGATTTATAATACTCAAAATATAATCGATTTGCACGATAAACCTTCTCAACGTAAGTGAGATGCTAAACTATAAAGCTTTATTTCGATTATTTCTAGGGACACTTTCCAGTACACCTACTATGTTACGACTTATTTCATTTTAAATGAAAGTGACGGGCGATATGTACATAATTTAGAGCTTATACCAAAAAAGCTTATTAAACTTTTTTTACAATTACATCCACCTTCTTTAAAAATAGTTCTATTTTCAATCCGTTATAAATAAATATTATTGTAACTCATTTCTACTTATCTATCAGCTGCACCTTGATCTAATATATTTAATTTTTTAATCCCAATAATTAACTTTTTCAAGATTATTTAATAATGACGGTATACAAACTGTAAAATTTACCAAGATAAGTAAGATTCTGCGTGTTTTATCGTTTATAGAACAAGTTCCTCTAACAAGACTAAAATACCGCCAAATTCTTTGATTTTAAAGAATATAACTATTAATATTCAAGCATTTAAATTTTACTCCCAGGTGTAATAGGGTATCTAATCCTAGTTCATACCCTGGCATCTACAGTTTCATCTTTATTATATACTAGTTTAATTTACTAATTAACAATCTAATTTTACCTTTTATTAAAATAAACTAAACTAACTTATAAATTTTTAATTAACTGTTAACTAAATTACTTTTACTTAATCTTAAAGTGTAACCGCGACTGCTGGCACAAAACTTAGTCAGACTTTTTATAACTACCAAATCAGGCTACCGCCCATAATTTAATATTTTATACTGTGATTTTAATTTTCTTAACACGATTTCTACTTTTTAATTAAACTTATTTTTAATAAATTTACTTGGTTACTTTTTCCCCACAATTATTTACATGTATTTACCAGTTATAACGTAAAAGTATTAAGCAAGAATCAAACTTCCATGAGTGTACAAATAGTATTTTTTTCATTTTTGACGATTAAATAAACATACTAAAATTAAAGAAATTTGTTATCAACATTAAAATTAACAATATAAATATGATTATAAACATAAATAATTAAACAAATTATATCAGTTATTTATTACCAAAAAAAATTTGTCCCACGCCCAAGTCAAGCCAAAAAATTATGAAGGCAAAACACCATTTCATGCAACTTTAAAAGAAACTCCGACAAAATTGAAAATTGTTATGAAGTTTGTTAGAAATGCTAACTAACTCCCTAACAACAAAGTGAAGTTCTGAGTTAGTTAGCACTCTCCACTAACTTCCTAACCTTAAACAAAATATTTGAATTATAGTAATTTATATACATATTTCAAACCAAAAAATTACATTTTTAAAAGTGCCGGTCTGCTTCAAAACGCATCAATATACTAAAAACAGAAATTTTAATTATGATTTTTTTTTTAATTAAAATATAAGTATTTTAAAATTTGAAACCGCATATGGGTCGCTACCATGCGCCCGCAACTTCAATTTTTTTTAAAAAAAATGAGAATTTACCTTCATTATAAATAATCTTATTAAACCTACCATATTTAAACAAAAATTTTTGCCAAAATCTAGCCAACTAAACAGCTAAAATCATTCTTAATTTTGTATCATTATAATTCTCAACAAAGATACAAGTTAGGGAGCTAGTTAAGAATGTCAACTAGCTCCCTAACTTGCATTTTTTGCCGTCAACAGTAGAATAAACTTACCATACAAAAAAATAGTTAGGGAGCCCGTTGGGAAAATCATGATTCTCATGAAACTTAGGAAAAACTTTTCTAATCTTATATTCGAGACCCTATATGGGTCGCTACCATGCGCCCGCAACTTCAATTTTGTGAGAAATTTAACACAAACCTCTATTTTTTGCTCGAAAATAAAAGTTCTGGTCTTAAAGTTGAATAGAAGATTTCCCATACAAAAGTAAAACTTTGTACCTTCTTAAAATTGTACTATTTTTCTAATTATATATACATTTAAATATATGTAAGGAGAGAGCTCGTAACCTAGTCTTTCAACTAAAATTATACACAAAAGAGAAAAATATATTTTTAAGGCGAATCTAAAATGTAAACTTATATAATTTCATTGAAATGCTTCGTCAACTGAAAAGTCGACAATTTAATTATATAAATCGACTAAATAAGATCCATAATGAAATCTAAGCCCTTTAAAATGGTCCCTTCTTCCTGAGGGGAGGTCCCATTTCCCAACGGGCTTAGATTTCTATTGGGAGAGGGAATTTTATAATTACAGAAGGCTGTGTATAAATCACAATTGTCCCAAATATATAATATTAAATTAATTATATACATTTATATGTATATATAATATATATATATACTATTATAAATTATATTTTCTTAATTTTCTGTTTTTTTATTTTTTATTTTACTAATAATATTTCTATTAACTTCATTTTATTAAAATATGATGCCTGAAAAAGGGCTGTCTTGATAGGACAGATTATGTAATTTTTTTACTCATGTTATCTATATACAATGGAATTCCACCAATTCTTTAAAGATCAAAACTTTTCGTGCCGTTTACACCAGTATACAAAAGATAAGCTAATTCTAAGCTAATGGGTTCATACCCCGTTTATGAGAGCATAAACCTCTCTCTTTTTAATGCTAATTTCTCCCTCTCAATTAATATTTATTTTGACCCTTATTTCAGGAACAATTTTATCTATTTCTTCCACTTCATGATTTGGGGCATGAGCAGGCTTAGAATTAAATCTTTTATCTTTTATTCCTTTAATTATTACAAAAAATAATCAATATTCTTCTGAGTCTGCACTTAAATACTTTCTTGTCCAAGCTCTAGGATCGAGTATAACAAAGGCCCATGATAGAGTATAACAAACTTTCCCTGATCGAGTATAACAAAGCCCCCTCATCGAGTATAACAAAGCCCCCTTATCGAGAATAACTAAGTCCCCTGATCGAGTATAACAAAGCCCCCTGATCAAGTATAACAAAGGCTCCAGATCGAGTATAACAAAGTCCCCTGCTCGAGTATAACCCTGGTATAACAAAGATCGAGTATAACAAAGATCGAGTATAACCCCCCTCATCGATATAACAAAGTCCCCTTATCGAGAATAACAAGTCCCCCTCGATAACAAAGCCCCCTGATCAAGTATAACAAAGGCTCCAGATCGAGTATAACAAAAGTCCCCTGAACGATTATAACAAAGGCCGCTGATCGAGTATAACAAAGTTCCCTGATCGAGTATAACAAAGCCCCCAGATCGAGTATAACAAAGTCCTCTGATCGAGTATAACAAAGTCCCCTGATCGATTATAACAAAGGCCCCTGATCGAGTTTAACAAAGGCCACTGATCGAGTATAACAAAGTCCCCGTGTTGAGTATAACAAAGACGCCTGAACGAGTATAACAAAGGCCCCTGATCGAGTATAACAAAGTTACCTGATCGAGTATAACAAAGCCCCCTGATCGAGAATAACAAAGCCTCCTGATCGAGTATAACAAAGCCCCCCTTATCGAGAATAACACAGTCCCCTGATCGAGTATAACAAAGCCCCCTGATCAAGTATAACAAAAACCCCTGATCGAGTATAACAAAAGTCCCCTGGTCGGGTATAACCAAGTCCCCTGG